AGTAGCTGGTGATATTGCACAAAAACTCCAAATCAACTACCCATCTGCTTGGCAACTTAAGCAGTTGATAATGAATACCTGGTTTGGCACTTCGTTGAAAAGACAATACATATCCAGTTCTCCGTGATACTCAAAGCTATCGGTCTTCCTTAACTATGAACTCCTAGAATGCCTGTGTTACCTTATTACGACAAAAATTGTCAGCAAATGTGAAAATTTCTCAAGCACAGGGATAGAAATTTTGCAAGAACTTTGACTGAAAATGCATAAAAGAGGGTTATGAAAGTAGATACGGAACCATGACATATCAACAGCAGATAAATGTAGAACGTGTTGGAGGTGTCCTTCAGCAAACTATGCACATAATTGAAGCACACATGCAGAAGTATAAATTAGAAAAAAAGCAATCTGTAAGCTGCTCATGCTATTTATAAAAAACTACTGTTGGGAATAGAGAAAGAGAAAGAAATGTTACTTTCATTTGCAGGTACTCAGGAGACTTCCTGTGCTATGACAACTTAGTATTTATAAGCATATGGGCAGAAAGAACTTACTTTTGGCCCCCAGTGGACCTTTTCTGGCCTTAAGGTATTTTACTGAACTTTAGGTTTCCTCGTAGATGATATTCCTCTGGAGTTTGTTAAGCTTCACCCTGAAATCTATCGTATTAGAAGTGTATTTCTGATATTGTATATGCTGGTGTTCTTTGATTCCTTTCAAAATTTGCCCCTACTTCTTTTTCTCTAGGGTGCACTTTCCCTATAAACCCAAGTATAGCATCTTGCAAATGCTGTCAGGCAGGAGAGATCACTTACCTCCTTTGTATTCCTGATGGCTAATAAAGCTCTATATTTTGGAGAAGATATTTTCAGCAAGTTTGTCAGGAAAATCATTTGCAGATTTGCACACCAATATTAAGCTTTGTTCATGTAGATTTCTTAGTCCATAAACTGTTTGAATGGCTGTCCCAGAACAAAGGCAATGCCTTTAATATTGAGGCCTTTGATCTCTTCTGCGTACTAATTATCAGTTTTGGCTTTCATTGTGCTATCTCTTTTGTTCCGCTGTTGGATGTTTTCCAGTTTTTTCATTTTAATTCTTTCCCTGGTATTTCATATTAATTTTTAGAAATTATTTTTATATGACTAACTTTAAGTGTTACATTATTGTCATGCTAACTTGTACTCTCACATTATGCCTCACTGTGATATTATAAAATCACCAGCAGCAACCCCTTTCCGTTACATCATTGTTATCCTGTTATGCACAATAAATTTTTAATGGCTCTTGAAGGCACAGTCTTTTCTGCCAAAAAATGTTATTTCACAATTGCTTTCTTTCCTTTTAGAGGTAGACTACTTGAATGGTGGCATCCTGTTGGAGATTAATACACAAAGAGTGACCACTACCTTTCCATAAAACTTCCTTCCTAGAACAAGGTGAAAACAAACCAGAAAACTTTCTGGTGGTTATCCAATTTCTTACTCTTGATTCTTTTTGCAGTGGAGTTATTTACACTACAGATCTGCATATAAAAATCTCCAGATTATTTCCATAATGTGGGAGAATTGCTATAGGTGGAGAGTTTCTGACCCTGCTACCCATAACATTTGTGCTGCTTTTACCCAAATTTGAATTTTCACAATATTTAAGGATTTGTTAAGGAGGGGAGAGCACAGGGAAGCAATAAGTCTTTCAGGACAACCTTGTACCAAACGGAGATGGTCTTATTGGCCAGGATTAAAAGAAGTCATTCCTGTGAAGAGACAAGTACTTGAATCTAGTGACCATGTGTGTTTGGGTAATAATCTGAAAATGCAAATCTTCGAATCGCGTGTTTGTCTGATAACAGCGCTTCAGTCCCTGCACCTGGGAGCATGCTCAAGAGTAGGAAGGGAAAGCAAGAAATAATTGGCATGTCTTTTCTTCTCAACACAGGTCTGGTCTCCCAGACTTTTGACTATCCACAGTTCAAGGAAGGCTCTGAGAAGAGGAGATGAAGAAACAGGACTCCACGTGGGCAGTAGCTAGATAAAGAGCAGAGAGGCTTCCTGCTTGCCTTTAAAGAAAGGCACAAATTTGAGTGGGAGCACCTCTGTCCTTATTTCAGACATACCAACTCCTGCTCAGAGCCCTGGACTTATGTTAGCACTGCTCAGCCTTGCACTTATATGCACCTACTGACACTTTCCAAGCAAAGCCTCAAGACTCACGCGAAGCCGCCTTTTCCTTACAAGCAGATCATAGTCTTTGGCTTTTCTTTTGCAGTTGAACTCCCTCGGAGGAGGGTCATCTTGAACAATGTTTTGTCATTGTTTCATGTCTATCTGCAAACCTGTCACCTACCGTGTTGACAGCTTGCTGGCCTCATTAAACGCATTCCAAGATTGATTTTCTTTACAGTATCTGTGCTAGGTGTTTCTTTAGTCCTGTAGGTATCACATTAAAGCAGATCAATTCCACTGCACTGCATAGGGTAAAATAACTGGGGAGTAGAAAGCTCCTCTTCCATCAGTATAAGCAGTTCCGTCACGTGTGTTAGCCTTTTCCCCTTAAGTGTGCTGATAGGACTTTAATAGCTGAGGTAGTGTTTCTTCAACATAATTAAAGCAGTTCGAGTTTCTTTCGGCATTTCTGCTTCCTGTTGCTTCTTCAACCTGCAGGGCCCTGTCAACCAGCAAACTCCCCTCTTGCTTTCTCTGTGTCTCCCTGCAGTTACATTTGAGTCTGCTTTTGAAATCTGCTTTCACAGGCTGTGTACTAAAGGGAAAAGGTGGGAATATTTTGGAAATCCTTTTGGTTCAATAAATATGGCTTTATAGGTCAAAAGCCTGCTTAACTCTCACTAAAATGCGGGTTTACATGTTTGGAGGCGTACTAGCTATTCCAGTTGTATCCCAGTGTTACAGTCTGCCATAAGTTTCAAGGAAGACTTTTCAGCTATGGTAACTTGAATGAGCGATCATGAATCTAAAATACTCCTTTTCTGCCATTCAGGAGATAACCTAAACAAAGAACCAAAGTGTATCCTGTCCTTTTCATATCTTTTGTGTTCTTCTTCTTGTAGTTTCACTTTACGTTTCCTGCATGCTGATTTTCTTGATTCCAGGTTCTGTATTTAATTTGTGATTAACAAGGGTCCTTTTAATGAGTTAATTACAAACAGTAACAGTCCACTCCTACAACTGTTTGTCAATTGTGATATCCAGACTTGAATTTGGAGAGAGGTCTGTACCTGTGTGTGTACATACCTGTATGTATGATATATTGTACTTCAGATTAAATTGCTGCTCTCTTTCTGACTAACAGAGAATGTGAGCGGGGTGTAACCAAAGCATCTACAGTCCTTTACACCTCAGCACTTTTCCCCTGAGTAGGACTGTCATAATAATTGTTTCC